GCACAAGAGGCCTAGCCTGCCTCAGCTTTCAACATGCCTTCTTCACTAAGCTTAATCATTTCTACTTTTCGATTTAAAGTGAAAGATGTGCTACTTATTTCTTTCACTTGAACACTTAAAAGGCCACTGCTTTGTCATTAATTAGCCTAACTTCAATATTACTGTATCTCAGGGAATAGGGAGACCCAAGGAGAGTGAGAGACACTGGGAATGGCCGGGTCAGTGAATCAGAACACACACATTTGTCAATTAAGTTCACCATCTTACATGTGCATGGTTTGTGGCACCCCAAAACAATTACAATTGGAACATCAAAGATCACTAATCCCAGATCACCAAAACAGATATGATGATAATGACGAAGTCTGAAATGTCATGAGAATTACCAGAATGTGACAAAGAGACAGTGAATACATGCTGTCGGAAAAACAGCACAAAAAGACTTGCTTAATGCAGGGTTGCCATAAACCTTCAATCTGTAAAAAATGCAATATCTGAGAAGTGCAATAAAGCAAAGGACAATGAAATGAGGTGTGCCTGTATGACAGTCTCTAAGAGGTTTCCAACTTAACAAGGGATTTTCCATGTTTATTTAAACACAGAAACATTTTCTTAAGTAATGCATTTTAATACCTCCCCCAAACTAGTGCTCTGTGGAGTACACTTTAAGGAATACAGTTGAAGTCTAAAACTGTGTGCATTTGATTATTACGAAAAAAATCATTGAATTAATGAGTACAAAAGCATGCCCGAAGCCATTTCCTAATGGGCTCAAAGGGGCATATATATTATTATTAAAGAAGAAACAGTCAAAGGGATAGGGATATAGCATATTGCTAAGTCCTTAGGAGCTACAATTATGGTTGTCAAGGATCTCAAACTCAACTCCCTAAATGGAACTTCTCATATTTTCCTTTCAAAGCTGCTCTTGAACTTTTGTTATTACCACCATCCACCAAGTCTTCCACGTCAGTAACCTGACTCTTTAATATTTGTTTCTACTCAAGTTTCAAATACAATTTATTTTTACATGTATCTTCCATCATCTTAACTTCTCATAAGACTCCCCACCTCTTTCAAGCCCTTTGTTGGTACCTACATTTGCAGTTTTTTTTAAGTTGCATTAAGATATAATTTACATGTATAACATCTATACATTTTACTTTTTATTTTATTACTTCGAGACAGGGTCTCACTCTGTTACCTGGGCTGGAGTACAGTGGCGTGATCTCAGCTCACTGCAACCTATGCCTCCCAGGCTCAAGCAATTCTCTTGCCTCAGCCTCCCGAGTAGCTGGGACTACAGGCATGCACCACCACGCCTGGCTAATTTTTGTATTTTCAGTATAGACAGGGTTTCACCATGTTGGCCAGGTTGGTCTCGAACTCCTGGTCTCATGTGATCAGCCCGCCTTGACCTCCCAAAGTTGGGACTACAGGTGTGAGCCACCGCACCTGGCCAATAACATCTATACATTTTAATTGTACATTTATATTACAATCTCTGATGAGATTGTAATACATTTATATCACTTCGTCTCGCTCTGCCGCCCAGGCTGGAGTGCAGTGGCACGTTCTTGGCTCACTGCAA